TTTTTTTTTTTTCCTGCGAAGCCCTGACATACCTGTCACAGTGAGAGCATTTAAAAGGCTTGGCACCGGTATGCTTCCGGAAGTGTCTGGTTAATTCATCACTTCTTGCAAAACGCCACTCACAACCTTCCCATGAGCATCTGTAAGGCTTTTCTCCTGGGAAGAGAGCACATGACAAGGCACCATGATTCCACTGACATGATAGGGAGGAAGGAGAAGACTCAACAATATATACTGTGAGACCCCTGAAGCCTACAGACTTCACCATATGTTTTAACAGAGACAGTACCTTTGGCACGCTAAAGGTCACAAGCATAGGTTCTTTCCTAACCTAGCCTGAAGCTTCACTCAAGCTGTTGTCCCAAGGATCCAGGTTTGACAAAATCAGAGTTAACTCATAACAATGACAATTACTCAGATAGCTGACATATTTGCAGGGTGAGGTGTCGGCCCGCAGGACCCACAGCCGTGCTGAGAGTTGAGATTTATTGCTTTCTCCATGGAGACATCCCCCTCCAGCACAATCTGGTTCCTTACTCATTTCCCTGGGGAATGAGTCGTCCATCCGGGACCTTCTACATTGCTGCAAAAACTCAAGTCATGAGTTTCTGAGAAACCTCATCCAGAGACTTTCAGATCAGTTTCTAAATGGCAATCAAACAACCAAATGGACATCACCCCCTAGCTAAATTATAACTATGAATTAAATAAAATGCTACCTATGAGTAAAAATAATGCTAAAGCCAACCTGAGTCAAAACTGTCTTGTCCTGGGAACACTCACATCCTCTCCCAAGTTCTGTGCCTTTTCAGGACCCTGACTTCATCTCTCCAGAATTTGATTATCATCTCCATAAGGTAACAATTTATGACATGGAGCTTTCCTGCGATCCTTCCACTCATATCCTGTATGTTGTACTGGTAGTTTCAAACAAACAAGAACTTCATTCTAAGTGGTGGCATTGAGTTAAGAAAGCCCTTGTTTAAAGTGGTTGTGTGACACAGTATTCACAATAAATGTCCCCTGGTCAACACTAGCAAACTCCATGCTGCCCAAGGACCCTCTGTCCTGACCCTGGACTTACATGACATAGAATGAGGAGCAACCCAACATAGCACGATGCATGTACAATGGGGAAATGAGCACCGAGTGGGTGAAGGTTTGAGTGTCGATGGAGAATGTGATCTGGCCTCTTGTTTAATCTGAAAGCATGACCCATTCATCTGATTCAAATGTCCAGTCTTTTAAGATTCTACTCTGAACTCCAAAAAGACCCAATTCCTTGGTGACAGGAATTAAGGAAGTGAGGATTTCCTTGCTTGTGACCACATCCTGAGGAGCCCTGGCTCCCTCCCAGGGCTGGTGCAATTCACTGGCGCCCACCAGGGGCTGACCTCCCAGGCCCCATGAGGGGACTGACCTGTGTGAGTACGTTGATGTGCTTTCAAGTGGGAGCTTTTAGTGTAAACTTTCCTGCAGCCGTTGAAGTGGCATCGATGTACCCTCCTCCTGCCATCTGGGGAGGCATCGCCACTACCCTTGTCACCAGACTTCCCAGAAGTTCCACTTCGAACCTTCCCTGGTGAGGGTAGGTCTCCTGGCCCACAGCCCCATAGTTGAGAAGATTCCCTGTTCACTTCTGGAGAAGAAGGAGGTGTGGAAATGACGGAGGAGCTCAGATTTCCTGAACTGACTAAGACTTCACCAATGGGATCAGAGGTAAATTTGGTCGTGGGTGAAAGTTCCTCAGAACTGTCTGAAGACTCGCTGCTGACATCAGAGTTTAGGCTGTTGGTCTCTAAGTTATAATTAAAGCTGGGGCTGATCAGAGAGTCTTCTGGGGGACTAGAAGAAATCTTCAGTTCTGATTCCTCCTTCTTCTCTCGAGCTAGAATGATTTTGGTCCACAGATCTTCCTGGCTGTCAAATTTTATCTCAGAGGCTGACACGTAGCAGGGCTCACTCTGAAGATAGCGTTCCAACTCCAGGCAGGTCTGTGCAGAATGAACCACAAAAAGGCACGTGATTGTTACGACTACTGAAAGTGGAACTGAAAGCACATAGAAAAAAAAAAAGAAAGAAAGAAAACATGCAACAAAGAACAAATAAATTATTTCTGGGCCACGTACTATGGGCCAAAGTCTTCTGTAATGGGAATCTATTTCCTCATGAATGCTAGAGAAAAGCTGTTTCTAGGAATACGAAGGAAAAGCAGAGGTAAAGCCTCTCTTGGTTTCTTCAGTGTTGGACCAATGGCCACAATGAGTGATGATCACTGGGCCTGTTTTGTTGTTATAGTTACAAGTGTTGACATTGCTAATGAGGATCCTGGTAAACCACACAAAGAAAATCAGCCTTCCACACATCACACCCCCTCCCACCAACCTAACAGGTTTAACCAGATCGTTTGACATTCTCTAGAACCAGGAGCATCACTGAGAGCCCCAGCCATCCACAAGTATTCACACAACAGGACAGAAAGATTGCACAGCACACAGTATGGTCTGAAGACCCCCCCACCCCTTAGGGACACAGCTGACAATATAGGGCTGGCTGTAGTCAGAGAGCAGACAGCAGATCTGTCTGTATTCAGGGACATCAATAGATTGGAAGAGAACCCTCCCATGTCCTGTGTAACTAAGACCTAGGATATATATATATATATATACATATATATCTACGTATATTTTTAAATGTCATTTCCCAAGTACAGGGCTGTGGATACCACCAAACTTTAATGATTTCTTCACTGTGGTCAGAAGGAAACAAGAAACCTCAACAACACAAGTGGAGGAATTCTTCCAGAATGGCCATCTGCTATTGTAAAGGATGGAAAGGGGAAATTACTCCCTGGCCCTTCTGGGAGTCCCACAATGAACAAGGACTTTATCTCCTGGCCAAGAGTACAACAGTATGAGTCATCACTCCTATTTCTTTCACGCAATGCCAAAGGAGACTTCCTTTTGAAATTCTGACCAGCAGCCAAATAAGGACCCGGCTCAAATATACATGCAGTGTGCCATGGACAGGGTGCCCCTTCCCCAGCCCCGCAACCAACCTTTCAAGGAGCTACACAACTGCAGAGATCAGCATCCCCTCTCCCCACCATTTCAAACTTTCTAGCCACTGGAAAAGAAAAATGGTAGGAAACATTTTAGGATTAAATTATGTCGGCCCTGATTTTTCACTAGGCTTGCCTGCATGCCCATATAAGGATGTCTGTGCCGCTGACTATTCCATTCTACAGATAGAAATTTCGAAACCAAACTGCAACAAATTGTTATCAGGGTACAGACCATCTTGAGCACAGCCTACCAGCAAAAGGGCTAATGCTTACTAAACAATGCCTTCTATCACACTATACAGAGATCCTAATCCCTCCCTGTAGATGCTTCACACAGCAAGCAGGCACAAGTCAAAGGGGGGGGGGGGGGGGGGGGGGGGTCTTGTTT